CGGTAGCAGCAGACTACAGTTAAGATCTGGCCTCCATTCATGGTGATGTTTACAGATAAGGCTTCAAACTGGTTTCAAATTGTTTTAGAAGACACAAGACTAGCAACCAAAGAATCTCTGATGTAAACAGCGACTCCCCTTTTTTGACAATCACAGCGGTAGATGTTAAATCCATTGATTGCCAGGTCATTATTGAGTACAGATTTGTTGAGCCAGGATTCAGAGATGAAGATAACATCTGCCCCAGAAGAACTGACCAGAATTTTCAAAGCATCAAGTTTTTTTCAGAAGGCTACGAGCGTTTACATGCAGAAAATGAAGCCCAGACACGTTGCTTCCCAGATACTAGCTGTTCACATGATCAAAAAGGACCATCAGCCTAACAATGGATTGTTAGCACCCCCTTTTTTTTCCCCGTTGTCCTGTCCAGCGTTGTGGCACTCAGAATTATTGGCCAGGGACCAGAACAGCAGGGAGAAGCAGCTGAGGAAAGCTGGCCCAGCGCAGCAAGGACCAAGCACCCCAACAACCTCACACCACAGGCCCGGAGAAGCCTAGGCACGCTGCCAACACACCACCCGTGTACACACAGCATCCCCCACCACGAATGTCACACCAGGCCGACCAGCCAGTGCCCGTCAAAGCGATGCCACGCCCCTGATCGCCGCCATACACCACAAATGACCACACACACAACCACAGCTGACCCCCCGCCAGAACCCGCCAGCCACCCCGGTTAAAGGGCTGGCCATCGCAACAAGGAACCTTGATCCAAAAATCTGAACAACCCAGGGGTAACCGGAGCACCGACCCCACCCCCAAACGCCTCCCAAGTCCCAAAACCCACCCACAGCCCCGACCCCCACCCGGCGCCCCCCCCCCCCCCCCCCCACCCCCCGACCCCATATGTCAAACGGAGAACAGGAGTGTAAATGGTAAATGGACTGTACTTATATAGCGCCTTTCTATCTTATTTCATACCATACCATTTTATTTATAGAGCACTTAAAACAGCTACAAGGCCAACCAAAGTGCTGTACAGACAGAACAACAGACAACACACAAAGCAAAATACAAAATGAAGTAAATCAAAAATATAGACATAAAATCGATGCAGATAATAAATATGATGACAAACCAGTGTGGAGCATACAGGTTCAAAACACAGATCCTCTGGTGTTGAAAGCTACTGAATAGTAGTGAGTTTTTAAATGGGATTTGAAAACTGAGAGGGAGGGGGCCTGTCTGACACGCAGAGATAACTCGTTCCAAAGTCTTGGTCCTGCTACAGAGAAGTCCCTGTCACCTCTGCGCTTAAGACGAGTTCCTGGAACTGTGAGGAGCAACTGGTCCACTGACCTCAGGGAACATGGTGGGACATATGGTTGTAGCAGATCAGATAGATGGGTGAAACTGTTCAGCGATTTGTAGACATACAGGAGTATTTTGAACTGGATTCGAAGATGAACTGGTAGCCAGTGCAGTGAGGCCAAAACTGGTGTAATGTGCTCTCTTTTGCCTGTACTGGTTAAAAATCGGGCTGCTGCATTCTGGACCAGTTGTAGTCGTGCAATGGAGGTCTGACTGATACCAAACAAGAGTGAATTGCAGTAATCAAGCCTAGATGTAGGCCATGTGATGGACTTGCGACCCGTCCAGGGTGTACCCCGCCCCTCGCACAGTGATTGCTGGACATGGGCACCAGCGACCCCCGTGACCCAAAATGGAATAAGCGGGTAAAGATAATGGATGGATGGATGGATGGATGGATGGAAGCCTAGATGTAATGAATGCATGTATTACTGTCTCCAGGTTATTTTTGGACAATATGGGCTTCAGTTTAGACAGCCGCCTCAGTTGGAAGAAACATGATTTAACAATCTTTTTACATGATTGTTAAGTTTCATGGAAGGGTCCATTATCACACCCAGATTAGTGACTCTTTGTTTTTCTGACAGGGTTAGAGTGGAAAGGTCGATGCAGTGGTTTGTGATCGTGTCATTGGGAGGGAACAACATGACTTCAGACTTCTTTTCATTGAAACTTAAGAAGTTTAAAGCCATCCAATCCCTGATGTCAGCCAGGCAGTCAAGCAGAGGTTGAATAGAGCATGTGCCATTGTGTCTTAGGGGGAAGTAAATTTGACAGTCGTCGGCGTAGAAGTGAAATGGTATGTTGAGTTTCTAGAAAATAGCATCAAGTGGCAGCAGGTATAGAGAGAATAAGAGGGGATCCAGGATGGACCCCTGCGGAACCCCTTATTTAAGCTCTGTCGCTGCAGAACTAAAATCCTTGATGGAGACACAAAAGGTGAGGTGAGGTGTTCCGGACACGTCCCACCAGGAGGAGACCCATAGGAAGACCCAGGACACACTGGAGGGACTATGTTTCTCGGCTGGCCTGGGAAAGCCTCGGGATTCCTCCGGAGGAGCTGAACCAAGTGACTGGGGAGAGGGAAGTCTGGGCCTCCCTACTTAGACTGCTACCCCTGCAACCCAACCCCGGATAAGCGGAAGAAAATGGATTGATGGATGGATGGAGACACAAAAGGATCTGTCAGTGAGGTAGGATCTGAACCAATTGAGGGCTAGGGTTAGGATTAGAAGATGGATGGATGCTCCCATGGGAAACAGAAGCTGGGTCCAGAACCAACAGGCAGAAACAGATAATTTGCAGCAAATAGCACAGCGAATTGCCAGAAAATCCTCCTGAAATGAAAGGCATGGCCCTAGCTCGTTTCAGGTCAACAGGGGAAAACAGCGATCCAAAATTAAAATAATTATTATCCAGGTGAGTTTGGATGAAGGCCTGCAGCAACTCCAATGCAAACTCTGAACTTCTCTCGAGCACCACATAGTGCTGCTCCTCCGCTTCTCTGCATGACACCTCTGCACCCGACAGCACGAGAGGCACCCCCGGTGAAAAACTATGAGATTGAGCGGAGAGGCTGAGGCTGAAGTCGTCACTGCTCCAGTCCAGTTCTGCTCCATTCCGACTCCGGAGCTCCACAGCACGAGAGGCAAAGAGGCTGAAGTTGTCCCTGGCTCGGTTCTGCTCCGGTCCGGTTCTGGCAGTGCTTCAAAGCATCAGAGCGTCTCCTCCAGGCGAACACAGCGATTCCACGGAGGTGGACCGTCCTTCGTTAAAAGTAACGGGCTGCTCACTGAAGCTGAGACCGGCTCTGTTGAAGACGAAGTACCCCACAGCCACCTCGGTTCGGTTCTTGTCCATTTCGGGGGACACAGGTACACTTCTCCCCCACCAGTGAAGACACCACGAGGGCCAGTCCAGCAGAAAACAGCGAAATACCACCCGGCAATTCTTGTCGGAACCAGGTAGAACCACAAAGGTCCAGATGAGAAGTGCTCAGGATGGGAGACTGCAACTAAGTGAAGATTCAACGAGTTTGCTGGTTTCCTTAGATAGAGAGCTTTACTAATTGGGTTTTCTACGTATGTGAATGTTTTTGTACAGTGCCCTGAGACAACTTCTGTTGTGATTTGGCTCTATACAAAAAAACTGAATTGAAATTGAACTGACAAAGAGCAACAGGAATCATCGAGGACTCGCTTCATCCTTCTCACTCTCTTATCACGTCGTTAACTTTATTTATAAAGCACATTTAAAACATCAGCTGTTACCAAAGTGCTTATCTGAAACAAAAAAATGTTCATATAACCTTAGACAGTAGAACAGACAGCATCATCACCCATAGTACAAGGTTTTTTAATAGTTTTTTTCCTGCCACAGTTAGACTGATGGCAAAACAAAACTACTGATCAGGTGCAACAATAACCCCACACTACCTAACTTCACTGGTCATGTGACATGGTTTACCTTCTGCACATTGTAGATAGAAATCACGTTGTTCTTATTTTTAATTATTCAGTGTTGTTTCAGTGGTTGGACTATGACTGAGAGCTCTGCACAAGAATTCCAATGTGCCTGGATTGTTGGTCTGTGCACAAATGGCAAATAAAGAACTTTTTACCTTTGTTGGTGTATAATGTGCCATATGTGGTACTTTTATTAAATATTGTCTAATGCAATGAAAAGGGCAGACCTTGTCTCTGATTTATGTTTCTCCCACCATTTTCTAGTCCAAGTCCAGTCTTGAGATGATGGAGAGTCAATCTTGTGATGTTGAACCTCCGCCTCCTCCTAAACCTGAGCTTCGATACCCTGGAATGACCCGGAGAAACCCAGAAGGTAAATCCACATTTAACTGCAATCCACTCATGAATCAGACATGGTCCAAATTCTGCTGATTGACTGTATGTTGTGGTGGTTTTTCCTCATTGTGGTGCCTCCCTCCTGCAGACTGCAGTCTGCTGAACAAAGCACCTCCCACCCCCACTATGTACAAGTACAGACCCACCTATAGCCCGGGCAAGAACCACACAACTCTCACACATGCTTACGCCAACCAGGTAACGCACTCACACACCCATACAACGCACACGATGAGAACATCTGGTTGAAAATGCATGTTTAGATGTAGAAACACACATTCTTTTTTATTTTCTAACTCATACATTAAATCAGACTAAAGCCTTTTGTGTTTTCAGTCTGTTAGGATTCCCACAGTTATTCATATTTGTTAAATGCCAAAATTAGGAAAGATATCCTTTTAATGGAATTTTTTATAAATTTTATCCATCCATCCGTTTTCTTCCGCTTGTTCCAAAGTCGGGTTGCAGGGGCAGCAGCTTGAGCAAGGACATCCAGACATCTTTTTCCACAGCCACCTCTTCCAGCTCATCAAGAAGGACTCCAAGGCGTTCCCAGACCAACTGAGAGACGTAGTCTCTGCAGCGTGTTCTGAGTCTTCCCCAGGTCTCCTCCTAGTTGGACATGCCAGAAGCACCTCCCGAGGGAGGCACCCAGGAAGCATGCTTACCAGATGTCTGAACCACCTCAACTGGCTCCTCTCGATGTGGAGGACCAGCAGTTCTACTCCGAGTGTATCGTGATAACTGAAGTTCTCACCCTGTCTCTAAGGGAGAGTTCAGCTACTCTGCAGAGGAAACTCATTTCAACCTCCTGTATCCACAATCTCATTCTTTCGGTCACTACCCAGAGCTCGTGTCTATAGGTGAGTGTAGGAACATAGGCCGACTGGTAAACAGAGAGCTTTGCCTTACAGCTCAGCTCTCTCTTCACCACAATGGACCGATACAGAGTCCACAATACTGCAGACACTGCATCAAACCGTCTGTCTATCTCATGCGCCATTCTTCCCTCACTCATGAGCAAAACCCTGAGATACTTGAACTCCTTCACTTGAGGCAGAACCTCACCCTCAACCCAAAGACAGCAATCCACTCTTTTCTGACTGAGGACCATGGTCTTAGATTTGGAGGGGCTGATTCTCATTCCAGCCGCTTCACCCTCGGCTGCAAACCGCTCTAGCGAGAGCTGGAGATCATGACATGATGATGCCAACAGGACCACATCATCTGCAAAGAGCAGAGATGGAATCCTGAGGCCACCGAACCGGACTCCATCCACCCCCTGACTTCACCGAGAAATTCTGTCCATAAAAGTTATGAACAGAATTGGTGACAACAGGCAGCCCTGGCGGAGTCCAACTCCCACCCTGAATGGGTTTGACTTTCTACTGGCAATGAGAACCACACTCTCACACTGCTTGTATAGGGACCGAACAACGTGCCCCCAATCCCATACTCACGGAACCCTCCCCACAGTGTACCTCAAGGAACACGATCGAAGGCCTTCTTCAAGTCCACAAAACGCATGTAGACTGGATGGGCAAACTCCCATGACTCCTTGAGGACCCTAGTCATGGTAAAAAGCTGGTCCAGTGTTCCACAGCTAGAACAGAACCTGAATTGTTCCTCCCGGATCTGAAGTTCAACCAACGATTGGACTCGCTTCTCCAGTACCCCTGAATAGACCATACCAGGAAGGCTAAGGAGAGTTATGCCCCTATAATTGGAGCAAACCCTCCAGTCCTCCTTTTTGAAGAGGGAAACCACCACCCCAGTCTGCCAACCCAGTGGCACTACCCCTGATGCCCACGTGATGTTGCAAAGGCGTGTCAACCAAGACAGCCCAACAACATCCAGAACCTTAAGGAAATCAGGGTGAATCTCATCCACCCCCAGAGTCCTGCCGCCGCATAGCTTCATAACTACATGGGCGACCTCAGCAACAGTTATGCATAAACCTCATCTCGGGCCTTAACAAATGATTTCATATAAACCATAGCTTAAAACTGACACCCTTTGACAAAGAATACATACATACATTTTTTTTACATTAATCATCAAGCGATTTTCTTGTAGCCAGAAATGAAATTGCTGACGATCTGCATGTAGTTGACTGTTGGTAGATTCAATATTTGATCCAGACAGGAAAATAACAGTATCATCAGCATACATTAAAAAAATGGGAGTGATTAAATATTTTGGGAAGGTCATTTATGTATAGTAAAAAAAAAAGCAATGGACCCAGTATACTACCCTGCGGGATTCCCATGGAGCAGGGTAGTGACCGTGATGTACAATGCCCATGTTTCACGACCTGGCACCTATCAGTTAAATAGGAAGAAAACATTTGTATTGCAGAAAGTAAACATGTAAAATAAGTCAATTTTTATAAGAGAGTATAATGATCAACTGTATCGAACGCTTTACAGAAATCAATATATACAGCGCCAGTTATGACCTTTATTCAAAGCAGCATCTATTTGTTCAGTAAATAATATTAATGTTGACATGGTTGACCGTGAAGCACGAAAACCATGTTGGTTATCACTTAACATATTATTAAACTTTAAATGGTGAAGTAATTGGTTAAATAGTGTTTTTTCAAGTAGCTTAGAAAAAATTGGAATAACTGAAATTAGCCGATAATTTGAAAAATCAGTCGGAGCACCAGATTTGAAAATAGGAGTAATCTGTGCAGACTTCCAGGCAACAGGAAAAATGAACTGTGTAATGCATAAGTAAGTAGGTGATGAAATAATGGTATAAAAGTGCTGGCATGCATTTTCAAGAAACTCATAATTTAACTTGTATATATCACAGGCATGTGAGCTATTAAAGATTGTAATATATCCAATAGATCAATCTGTGAGATTTCAGAAAAAGAAAACGTCTCCGAGGTGTCGAATAATTTAGATGACTTTGAACCAGTGCTTAATTTGTGCTGGATCCTGCCGGAGCAAGATCTGGGAGCTCTCTTGTTTTGATAGGGTGCATTCCGGCAACTGTTTGCTTGGATCTGGCAACTCAAATCTCTGCCCCTAAAAGTCCAAAGCCATCGTACATTTTTATTTTGATTATTTATTAAAAATATGAGAGGAGATGTTGCCCTTGACCCAGTGGACTCAGTCTTTGGAGTGGCTCTTCTAGCTGCAACAGGTGCACCAGCTCGCGCACACGCTCCTGTCCTGCAGAGATGCAGACAGCATGTCCCACGGGGATGAATACATTATATATATATATATATATATATATATATATATACAGTGAGGAAAATAAGTATTTGAACGCCCTGCGACTTTGCAAGTTCTCCCACTTAGAAATCATGGAGGGTCTGAAATTTTCATCTTAGGTGCATGTCCACTGTGAGAGACATAATCTATTAAATAAAAAATCCAGAAATCACAATGTATGATTTTTTAATAATTTATTTGTGTGTTACTGCTGCAAATAAGAATTTGAACACCTGCCAATCAGCAACAGTTCTGGCCCTCAAAGACCTGTTAGTCCTCCTCTAAAAAGTCCACATCCACTCCACTTATTCACCTATTCTCCTTGAAAAATTAAATAAATATGGTATAAGAGGACCAGCATTACACTGGGTATCTAGCTATTTAAAAGATAGGAAACAGTTTGTACAAATAAATGGTGTAAGATCTGACCTGTGCAATATCACTTGTGGAGTTCCTCAAGGCTCTGTACTTGGAACAAAGTTATTTATTTTATATGTGAATGACTTAGTGAATGTATCAGGACTCCTCAAATGTGTCCTTTTTGCAGATGACACCACATTTTTCTGTTTGGGTAAAGATGTAAAACGGATGTTGGAATTGATGAAGACAGAATTTGATAAAATACAAACTTGGTTTAAACTTAATAAATTATCATTAAATTTAGATAAAACTAAATACATGATATTTAGCAACAAAAAGAGAACTGTTGATGATCCATTTAAAATTGAGGGTGTTGAGATTTGTAGAGTTAATGAGATGAAATGAGATGAAATTTTTGGGTGTAATCATTGATGAACAGCTAACATGGAAAAATCATATAAATTCTGTAATAACAAAAATATCTAAATCTATTGCAGTACTTTACAAAGTCAGGGAATTATTAAATGAAAAAGCTCTGTACATGTTGTATAACACAATCATTGTTCCACATTTAATCTATTGCATTGATGTTTGGGGGAAAGCGTGTAAAACATTTACAAAACCTATTTTTATTTGACAGAAAAGAGCTGTAAGAATTATCACCAGAAAGCATTACAGTCACCCATCAAGCACATTATTTTATCAACTGAACTTATTGAAGTTCCATGATTTGGTAGATTATAGTATTTTATCAGTTATGTATAGGGCTCAAAATAACACATTACCATTAAATATCCAAAGAAATGTTGTTAAAAGACAAAGTTGCTACAATCTTAAGGGGATAGAAATATTTGTCAAACCAAAATTCAGAACTAGTCTGAAGGGAAGGTCTACCTCAATCCAAGGAGTTGGATTGTGGAATGTTCTAGAGAGTGATGTGAAAAATGTCAAGTCAATGTGTACATTTAAGAAAAAGATCAAAACTGAATTGTTAAAAAAGTATATATGAAGTAGCTTAGTGTGTGTTTTGTATTAGAATTAGAAAAATTAGAAAGTTATTCATTTTGTTCTGTTACTTGAAGATTATTATGTCTGAAATAATTGTTTGTAAAAAGGGGCAGATATAATAAGATTTTTTCTTCTTTCTGCTGCCTTTCATTTTAAATCTTTTGTATCTTTTTTATATTGTTATGGAATTGTTTTGTACTTTTTTAAAATGAATAAACTATATACCATACCATACTTATTATTCTAAATTAAAAGCAGCTGTTTGAGGTCGTTAGCTGCATAAAGACACCTGTCCACCCCACACATTCAGTAAGACTCCAACTACTAACATGGCTAAGACCAAAGACACCAGAGACAAAATTGTAGAACTCCACAAGGCTGGAAAGAGCTATGGGGCAATTGCCAAGCAGCTTGGTGAAAAAAGATCAACTGTTGGAGCAACTATTGGAAAATGGAAAAAGCTAAACATGACTGTCAATCTCCCTCGGACTGGGGCTCCATGCAAGATCTCACCTCGTGGAGTATCAGTGATCCTAAGAAAGGTGAGGAATCAGCCCAGAACTACACGGAGGAGCTGGTCCATGACCTGAAGAGAGCTGGCACCACTGTTTCCATGGTTACTGTGGGGTAATACACTAAGACGTCATAGTTTAAAATCATGCATGGCACGGAAGGATCCCCTGCTTAAATCGGCACATGTCCAGGCCCGTCTTAAGTCAAGTCAAGTCACATTAATTTATATAGCACATTTAAAACAGTAACTGTTATCAAAGTGCTTACCAAATAAGATCACAGCATCAAATATTAATAACAACATATTACAGCAACATGAATAAAAGCATAAAAACATGAAATATAATGAGAAACAATGAAATACTAAATCAAATCACCCGTTAAATTAAGTTATTAAGTTTGCCCATGACCATGTGGATGATCCAGAGGAGTCATGGGAGAAAGTTCTGTGGTCACATGAGACCAAAATAGAACTTTTTGGTCTTAATTCCACTCACCGTGTTTGGAGGACGAAGAATGATGAATACCATCCCAAATACACCATCCCTACTGTGAAGCATGGGGGTGGAGGCATCATGCTTTGGGGTGTTTTTCTGCACATGGGACAGGACAACTGCACTGTATTAAGGAGAGGATGACCGGGGCCATGTAGTGAGAGATTCTGGGGAACAACCTCCTTCCCTCAGAGCATTGAAGATGAGTCATGGCTGGTTCTTCCAACATGACAATGACCTGAAGCACACAGCCAGGAG